ATACAGCTTGGAGGCGCTGGCAAGAAAGGGCACAAAACTCAGTAACAGTCTTCACTCTCACAAAGAAAGCAAAAATACTAGTTTGAAAGAATAGATCATGTTAGATTTCAATAATACCATAAACAATATGAGGCAGTGTGATACCGTACTGAACAAGTGAGCAAGTTGAATTGATGACTTCAGATAAACACAGTAGAGAAGAGGTAGTTTCTGACCTGGAATCAGAAAAGAAACCAGGCATTGTAGACCAAATTGAGGAAGGAAGGGTATTATGAAAAAAAGAAAGTACAGTTAATTTCTTAGAAGAAAATAAAACACTCCTAGAGTTACTGCAGGGCTGGACCACCCAGGGCTCCCTTGAGAAGGGAGGATAGCAGGCGGTTGTCCCATAATGCCTTAATCTGATCTCCATTTGTAAAAGGTCCATTTGGCAACAGTGAAGAGAATGCATTATAAAGAGATAAATATTGAAGCAAGAAGTAAGTACCCAATAAATATGTATTGGGTGGACAAATGGGATGACACCCGTGTACTTTACTGAGCTGCATAGTTATTGAATGACTGATTATGTATGAGTCTCTTTGAGAATAACTATTTAAAAATCTTAGCACCTTTTTGAGTTGAAAGAGGTGGGTCTTATAAGGCATAGATAATAGTGAAATTGATATGATGTTATAAAGGACATTATTTAAGTCAGATGAAAATTGAGTGTGGAGAGAACATATCTGTTAGTTTCAGTGTTATTAGGAGGTCAGCATAGCTCCCAAACTCAGTACACAGTTATGAGTTTTAACTGATATATACTGAGGTGAGTCAAGAGATGGCATACCCTTGAAATGTCCTTAAATGCACAGGATTTATAACCAGATATAACTAAGATTTTGTTATAACTCTAATATTTTGTGAAATTACTTGTTTTGAGCAAGAAGGAAACAGAGAACAAGCAAGAAAACCCACTTAGGAGTTTAGTAGAGGGGATGCACACAGGCCTGGGGAATTGGTGTGCAGAGAGACAGAGAAAGATGGTGACTCCAGCTTTTCAAAAGCTGCCTAGCACATGCACACAGGGGGTTGGCATGACTACATCATATGCAGATGATGCAGATGACAGGCTCACGAATGCACACAAGGGCTTAGCTGAGTCATAGTGGACGTAATCACACATGCACGTATGTGGGTCACGCTGGGCCCTTTAACATTCAGGCTCCTCCATGCCTGGGGGTCCTGAACCAGGAAATATCAGCCTTATGTGGCTGAAATCATCACATCTTGTAGCAGTAAGATTTTCAGCTTTGACTTGGATATGGTAATAATACCTATCCCAACCAATTACAATAATAATTCATTTTTAAAAGTCCACTCAAAATATTAGTTAATATTTCTGGTCATGAAAGTACTCCATAAATAATTGATATTACTATCTTTTATCTACTAATTTAGTTTTAATGATTTCTACCATTAATACATGATCCAATTTGGCAATGATAAATTTGAAGTGGAGACAGCTGCCTCATTTAGGTTCTTAATGACTAAAATGCATATGGCACTCATTGGTTTTTACTGTACAGAATAGAAACTGAACAAAATTAAGTAACTGTGGAGTGCTCGGCCCTAAATGCAACATCTGTGTCACATCTATTCTATTTGTCGTTAAAGAAAAGGGGGCAGAAAGGTTGTAAAAGCAGAAGTTGGTGGGAGTTCTGTGAAACAGCATTTTCTGAACATTACAGAGCCATTGCATACGAGAACTCAAAGATGAAACGGTTGCTTGAACGAGACCCACATACGCTCAAGCAGTCACAATTCCATTGTGGGTATGTCCCAGTCTTATGTAGATGTTTTCTTAATTAAGGCTCATTCTTCTCTATTGACTCTAGATTGTCTCAACATAAAGCTAGCCAACACAGTGTGTGTGCCTGCGTGAGCATATGTAAACTCCATGCATGTAGTAGTCCATGGCACATAGAAGATGCCTGGAAGAGGATTTACAAGGGATTCTAATCTGTCATGTGTGTTCTCGAAAATGAAACCACGTCCTCTGCATGAGTTACAAATGCACATAACTGCTAAGCCATTCCTTGCACCAAATTTCACTCTTACATTGTTTTTATTGAAAATTAATTCTCAATCGAGTTTTATTTTAATAATTATTTGACCTGCATGTCTTCTGTACAAAGAAGTTAGTTATCCCATGAAAAATTTCATGCAAATATTAAAATTTTCTGTGTACTAAGAAATGCATTAAAATGCAGCAATAGCTTTATTGGAATTTATGCAATAGATCACTCAGTAAAATGTATCTAAAATACAGATAGGAAATTATTTTCTGACAATGAACATATAGATATGTATTGTATCTAGCACATGCATATTTCAGATGCTATTAATGCAATATGTAAATGTGCCTGTTTTATTAAAAGTGGTATGTGAACATGGGTACTTATATAGGAAGGCTAGCCATAAAAACTACTCATGGTAATGAGAATCTTTATTAAGCATTGTATGAAATTTTATAGAAGAGGAAAAGATTGATCTTATTTCCAGTGACAAAAAGTATGCCATACTAGGGATGCTGAAGCAAACATTCTTGAATCTGATATATAATCTCTAATGATGGGGGTATGGGGTGGGGAACAGGGTGAGAATAATAGATACACAAGAACAGATTGAAAAGAAGGCAATGTTGTCTTGCCCTGCAGGAGGACAAACATTTTTCTAGTACTTTTACTATATTTAATAACCATTTACTTTTCAATTCCTATGATAAAAAAATCACAGAACTGACTATAAACTGAACAAAAAACTTTTAAAAAGTGGAAAATGAATGAGACAGTGCATATCATGGCCTTACATAAGTTCCTCAAATTCATGTAGCAAGTAATAAAATCCTAAGTGCATGTTCTGTCCACTGCTCTGGTAATACTTGGGAAATGCTAACTAATACTGTCTTTGCAGTCTTGACTAGTTGTCTTACTCAGTGTTCTCTTGATGTGAAAGGACACCAAGCCCACAGTAACTCTTATAAAAGAAAGCATTTCATTGAGTATAGTCTGTTCTCAACATGGCAGAAAGCATGAGAGCACACGGGCAGACACAGTGGTGAAGAAGTAGCTGAGAGTTCTACGTCTGGACTCAAGGGCTGCAAGAAAAGAGACACTGGGACAGCTTAGGCTTTTGAAAACCACAGCCCACCTCTCCTCCAACAAGGCCACACCACCTAACCCCTATCAAGGAGTGCAACTCTTTAATGACCAAGCCTCTGCATTCCACTATATTAACCTGTGCAGCCATTCCTATCAAAACACGGCACCAATCTAAGAAAACACCTCCAGCACAATGCTAAACAAACAAACAGAAGTACCAGTTGGTCTAATTACTTCAGTATTTAAAGTAAATTATAGAAGTACTGAAGTAAGGAGCTGCAGAGATGGCTTAGTAGTTAAAGGAAAATACTGTTCTTGTATGGGAACTTAGTTCAGTTCCCAAACCCGTGTTTGGCAGCTCATAACTGCCTATAACTCAGCTCCAGATATAGGATGTCTCTTCTGACCTCCACAAACACCTCCAAGCATTTGCTCACACAAAATACTCCCTGTGACCATACACACACACAAACGCATGCACACAATTAAAAATAAATCAGTCTTTCTTAAAAGTTGTATTGAAAGAAGACATCATTTTACTTGTTGTAAAACCTACACATTTTAAAGGAAAATTCAACACTTAAATATAAGAAAATACAAGTTGTAGATTAAACTTTAACAAGATTTGGCCTATGGATATGATTATGCACAAGAAAAGTTCTTTGGGGATGAGGATTTCACAAGGACATGGGGAATGAATGAGCTAAGTGTGTTTAGTATTATATTATCACGCTAAAGTTAGCAAGGCTTGGAGGTGAGTAAACAGTGCCTAGTCAAATAAAGTGTGTCAAGAAAATAAGACAAAATATCAAGCTGTTAAATGTGCCACAGTGAAATATGTGTTCAATCAGCTGCTCAAGTTTATGGAATAAAAATAGTAGGTTATGTCATAGTTATAAACAATTTCACTCTTTTAATTCTTTTCTCTATTCCTTCATTTTTTTGCTTCCTCTCTTTCTCCTGTCTTCCCTTCCTTCTTTCTAAAAAAAGAAATGGAGAAAAACAAAGACATATATTCATGTGGATAAACTCTCTAAACTGTATAATAGATCCTGCCCAAGTCTTCTCTTAGCCAGTTTAATGCTACTAACAATTTACTAGAAAAATCATTGAAAGACTGCATTAATCTCAGTGGTTACTAAAGAAGTACTTGGGTCATGACTTCAGTTTTTTTTTTTTTTTTTTCATCTAACTCCTGAAGATGTCCATCAGAGTCAATGAAAAATCTGAATACTTCATTTGTCCCTGGAATATCCCACTGTCTTTGTAGTAATGAGTCTAGGCAAATAGACCAGTCAGAAGCACAGCAAATAGCAGAGATGTCACGAGGAACGTGAAACAAGTGCATATAAAGGTGAAAGACAAGACAACACAGAAAGAATCAGAAACAGTAAACAAAATGTAACACTGAAACCCTGGGAAAGTATTGCAGAGCCTGAAATAGCATCAAAGACAGAAAACTCCCAATGGAATGGCAATCCTACTAAGAAAAACAGGAAGCAGAATCCACACATGGCTCCTTGTGGAATTCAAGACAGCTTTGATCTTATAGAGTAAGGCTGGAGTCTGGTGGATGGGAGGTGCAGTATGAGCTATTAAGAGGCCCAACAAAAATTCTTCAGCATCTCCCTACTGTGGAAGCGTTTTCATGAAACCCCAATGCAGAGTAACAGTGTAGATGGGGCTGCTACAGCTTCACCTTCAGATTTAGAGATGTAGGGCATATGGAGAATGCTGGGAGATGCTTTCTAATGAGAATATACTTTTCCAAGTGAATGTCTTCCCTACATGTAAATGAGGTGTGCACTGTCCAGAAGTCCCTGCTTAGTTCTAGTGTCTTGTCCCTTGTTCTTAAAGGTGGTCTGGCGTGGCTGAACTTTGCCAACTTCTTCCTGTAACTATTGACAGCAAAAAGCATGCTCAGTCAGTAAAAAGCAACAACTACTTCCTGTCTGCCAGCTATTTCCTCCATTTCATCCTGAGTTAGTGCTGCATTTGTACAGCTATTCTGTCTCCTGATTGACTGAAATTGTATGAAAATAAAACTCAAGGCCCATCTGCTCCTCTAGCTTTCATCCAAGATTTCCTGGAAGGAAAGCACTCTGGAGTTGAAAAATTCGCAATGGCTGCGTGACTGTAGAACCAGAGTGCATCCTCACACAGGAACTGTAATCCTGGATTACCTCAAACCTCCCTTCACTTTTATTTATTACTCTATTAAGATGTTTGCCTTCTCTAGGGCTTTGCCGGATGCCCTACTGTTTCATAACTACTATATTGAAATACATTCCTTAGCCTAATAAGCAAGCCAAGCTTTTAGATGTTGCCACATGTCTTAATCATTATTGCAATCAGAATAAAAACAGACGGTTCATCATAACAGGCACTATGGCAATATACACAGGCCCGGAGTGTAGCTACAGCAATCAAGAGGGAATTGCATACCCACTGTGACTTCTGATGATGCTTAAGCTGCTTCATTTGTTTCTAGAATCTTCTATCCTTTCCACCTATCTGCAGTTTTCCAGTTCTTCAGACCTTATTCTTTCTGGACAATGTAAATAGTCACTAGTCTTTCCTCTTCTGAATACCTCAGTGAGTGTCCAATTAGTTGGACAGTAAAGATCTCAATGTTACAGGTTTTCTGGCCTGTACTGAAACTCTCTGTCACTGTATGAAAGCATCCATGGATACCGCATTATTAATTAAAGCTCTGTGCTAGCAACAATTCTTAGAAAAGAAAACTCAGGCTTGATGTTGGCCTGTGGGTCAGAGTTCTGTACTGGAAATTCTCAACATTTTCTGGGCTTCATAGAAATGTAGCTAAATTCCCTCATTATTGTGTTAGATATTTAAAAAGGGATGAATTGGCATATTCATGGCCACACACTTCTAAGACATCGGAGACTAAAGACCTACTCACCTCCACATTTCTAGCGATTGATTACATTCTACTCGACACAAAATTACATACTAAATATTATTTTCATACTTCATGTTTAGTACTTTTATATAGGATCGTCTACTAGTTATTCATGGAAAATGGAATAAGTAGACTTTGTTGCATGATATGTTTAAAACTGTATAAGGCAGGAATTAAGGCACCAAAAATATTTGTAATTAGTGTCATCTAGGAAAAAAATGTTTTGTCTAGTGCTGAAGTTGTATATTGTGTTTAAATTAAGAAAACTGTGAAATTGCCAGTGCTTAAATTGTGACCATTCTACAGTTACCATTTACAGAACATAGTTTGTATGCAAACTTTTATTTTTCTTACTCCAATTCCATAATTAGAAGGATAATTATAGGATTTTAGTTGATGTTTTTAAATTTTAAAATGTATCTTAGTCGATTTCCAAATTAATGAAACATAGTATTAAAATCAGTTGCTACCAAAGCAATTTTTTAGGCTTTAAAAGTAAGTAATTTTGGTTTACATCTAAATTTTGATTGCATTAGCTAAGAAATTATTAAGAAATTGCTATAGATGTCATTTTATTTCAATTACTGTAGCTATATATTAAGTTATTAAATACTTTCAAAAAACTTGTTGTTTATTGTTGTCAAGTATCTGAAGGCTTAGATTAGGAAAGATCCTCTCAGAACAGTGATGTTGATTTTTCTATGCCTCAATTCTTCATCTTCTGATCAATAACTACTCTGATGTTTCTTTATCAGAGAGACTTTCCTTTAACAAACTTTCTGTAACAGCAGCTGCCTCTCCCCAAACCAACATTGAGCCCTTGATCCTCTTTCCTCCTCAGTGTTAATCACCAACTTAAACTTCTTGTTCACCATGTTGTTATTGGTCTAATTTTTGTCATGATGCCTTACCACTCTGAGGGGAAAATATTGTCCCTTCCTCTCGCCATCTTGCCACAACACCCTGTCTAATGCCAGTTTAAAGGCATGCGCTGACATAGCACCGATATGAGCCCATTTCTAACATGATGTGAACATCAGAAGGAACACTTCCAGGTTAGATTCAGGAGCTTTGCCAAAACTGATTCAAAATTAGATTCTAAGAATTAAAAACTGGAAATAAAAAAATCTCTGTGTGGTTACAGGTAAATTTAATAGTACATTTTCACAGTAAACATAAAATCCACTCACTTAGTATAGATTGTGAACACATTTCTTTTCACACATATTTTATGTTCATCTTTTCGATATTTTCCATTGGATTTTCTGGGGAATCTAATCACACTCACCTGTCAGAGTTCCCAGAGGAAGCTAGAGAATAACTAAGAAAAATAAGACAGCATGTTGTGAGAAGAGGTTTGTTCACTTTAACTTCTAATTTTTAAACACTTGAATAGCGAAGTAGTACATGAGGATTCATTCCTCAGTGCCTATAGGGATTTAACTTCACTTCAGTAAAAGCCCAACATAACTCGCTTATTCCCTATATTATGCAAGCTCTTTTTTTTTTCCTTTCTGTTTATAAACATGAGACGTGAGAACCTTTCAGGAATGTGTTGCTCAATTCCCCATCGTATTAAACAAAACCCTAGGCAATGTGAGCATGTGTTAGGAATTAAAGATTTGGAAAATCAGTTCTCTACCATCTAGCAGTTTAGCTCTCAATCACAGGAGTAACTTTCACGTACACCATCAAAGACTTCACTCCAATAAGGACAACAATTTGGTAGGAGAGAGTTAGTTAAGCAATACAATGCATGGATTGCCTGTTGGTGCTAAGTGCTGGGAAGAGTAGAGTGTTGAGGAGGTGACAACTCTGGCAGTCTCTAGGCATGCAAAGTGACATTGAACACAGACCTGGGAAAGGACTGGTATGAGACATGGAACATTTGGAATAGTAAATGTAAAGTCTCCTAGCAGCAAGTGGCTTGCCATTGGTGGAAGAGGATGGAGTCATGTGTCTAGACGGTACTTAGAAAGGTGAGGGACCCACTGCAGGTTCTGGAGGACTTTAAACTTCATTCCAAGTGACTGGAAGCAGATGTCGGAGCACACTATGACTTTGCCTTGAACCTTGGTGAAGTTGAGTCCCCTATAATTTTGGAGCAATGAATGGTTATTGTTCTGTGTTATCTCACTAGTCATGAAATTACTGGATTTTACCTGTGATCCTTAAAGACTAAATTTCAGTTACAGTCCTCTTAAAGCAAGGCTGTTGCTTCAGGTTATTAGACCAGAATGGTTTAAACTATTTTTGTAGTTTATCATAGTGGGTATAATTGAGATATGTAAATTATGATCATTGATGAAGTCTTTTTGGTGCATTTTAAAGACTAGCCTAATGAATAGTTGTTTTATTTTGTGTATACGTGTGTGTGTGTGTGTGTGTGTGTGTGTGTGTGTGTGTGTGTGTGCATGTATACATACACATGTGCCTGCCATGGAAGCCAGAAGAAGGCATCAGATTTCCTGAACCTGTAGCTTGAGGTGTTTGTGACTTATCCCATATAACTGTTAAACATTGAATGTGAGTTGTTTGCAGGATTAGCAAGTACTTTTGACTGCCAAGCCATGTTTCCATTTCCTTAGTAGTTATTTGAATAAGCACAAACCAGCCATTTTTGAAAGAACTTTAGTGAAGTTAGATTTTTTTCTATCTCTTCTTTTTCTAGATAAGTGTGATGAACCACTCATCTCTGGGCTTTCCCATATGTTCTTCAGTAGCTCCTCCTCCCTGTCCAATAGCTATTCGCCTGGCTATGCCAAGATCAACAAACGAGGAGGTAAGAGACACTTGATTCTTTTGTGGCTAGAAGCATGTTACACACCAGCTTTGTCTTTCTGGGTCTGGGTTTGCTCATTCAGGATGTTGTTTTCTAGTTCCATTCATTTGCTTGCAAATTTCAAGGTGTCACTGTTTTTTTTTTTTTTTTTTTTTTTTTTTTTTTTTTNGAGTAATACTCTATTGTGTAAATGTACCACATTTTCTTTAACCATTCTTTGGTTGAGGGGCATCTAGATTGTTTCTAAGTTCTGGCTACTATGAATAATGATGTTATGCATATAGATAAGCAAATGTCCTTGTGGTATGATTGTGCAAACCTTGGGTATATGCCCAAGAGTGGTATTGCTCAGGTAGATTGATTCTCAATTTTCTGATAAATTGCCATACTGATTTCCAAAGCAGCTGTACAAGTTTGGAGGAGTGTTCCCCTTACTGTACATCCTCTCCAGCATAATCTGTCATCAATGTTTTTGATCTTAGCCATTCTGACCAGTGTAAGATGATATTCCAGAATCATTTTTATTTGCATTTCCCTGATGAATAAGGATATTGAGCAATTCCCTAAATGTATTTCATCCATTTGAGCTTACTTTGTTGAAATTCTTCTATTGAGAATTCTCTGTTTAGATATGTATCCCATTTTTCAAATTGTTAGTTTGATATTTTGATGCCTAGTTTCTTTAGTTCTGATGTGGGATTCCCCTCTGTATGCTGTGAATACCATTGGTTAATAAAGAAACTGCCTTGGCCTGTTGATAGGGCAGAACTTAGATAGGCAAGGAAAACTAAGATGAATGGTGGGGAAAAAAGGCGGCAGAGTCAAGGAGAAGTGATGTAGCCCTGATGGAGAGAGATGCCAGAACTTTAGTTGGTAAGCCAAGCCACGTGGCAATACACAGATTAATAGAAATGGGTTAAATTAATATGTAATAGTTAGCCAATAAGAAGCCAAGCAGTGATTTAATTAATACAGTTTCTGTGTGATTATTTTGGGGCTAAAAGCCAGGAACTAACTAGCGGCCTCCTACAACATAGTTCTTTATATATTTTGAAGATCAACCAAAAACACATATGTACTTACTAATAAGAGATGTTATATATAAAGCAAAGGATAACCATACTACATCCCACAGTCCCAGAGAATCTAGGTAACAAGGCAGACCCTAAGAGGGACATGCATGAATCTAGCCTAGGAAGGGGAACTAGATAAGCTCTCCTGTGTAAGCTGGGGGTGGAAGAGTAAGAGTGAAATGGAAGGGATATAAAAACCTGAGGGAATGGGATGGTCAAGTTGAGGAAGGGAAAGTGAATGGAAATAAGGAAAGAAATATCTTGATAGAGTGAGCCATTTGGGGATTAGGGAGAAAACTTGTGCTAGGGAAACAACCAGTAATTCACAAGAATGACCCCAGCTAAGATCCCTATTCATAATGGAGAGGATACCTGAACTGGGCTTCTCCTATAATCAAACTGATGACTACCCTGATTGTCATCATAGTATCTTTATCTAGCAACTAATAGAAACAGATACAGAGATCCACAGTTGAGTACTGGGCTGAGCTCCTTAAGTCCAATTGAGCAAAGGAAGGATATGAGCAAGGGAGGGGTTCAAGATCATGATGGGAAAAACCACAGAAACAGTTGACCCAAGCTATTGGAAGCTCAAGGATTCTCGACTGACAGCTGGGGACCAGTGTGGGAACAAATTGGCTTTCTGAATTGGATGACAGTTTTGGTCTTTTTGTTTTGCCCCTGCCAGTGAACAAGAATTTATCCTTGGTGAATGAACTGACTTTTGGAGGCCTATTCCCTATGGTGGGATACCATGCTCAACTTGATACGGGGGCAGGGAGAGGCTTGGTCCTGCTTCCACCTGATGTGCCATGCTTTGTTGACTCCTCAAAGGAGGTTTTACAGTCCCATGTAAAAGGGAGAAATTCTAAAAGAGGTTGGAGAAGAGACAGGTATGGGAGAAGGGGAGGGAGGGGGAACTGTGGTTGGTATGTAAAATGAATTAAAAAATTAAAAGAAAAAACATGTTACACTTGCTACTGATTGTTACATATGCATTAACACAGCCAATATTACCAATCATGTAAACTCATGACTATCAGTCTAACTAAATGACCTACAAATACCATAGGTATCACATATCTATATCTATATAGTGACACACACACATATATGCATACATAAATACGAAGGAAATAAGATAAGTCAATGTATATGACATTTGGAGTCATCTCTAGAAATATGTTCAAAATAACAAGCATTCTTAGTTAAAGAAATAGTTTTTTCACTCAAAAGTACTTAACCAAGTCAGGTATTTACAAAAATGACTCCAAATAAGTATCTATTTATATAAGTTAAAATACATTGCAAACTCCCTGATTTTTCCATGTATATTGATGTACTTGGTTTCATTTGTAAATGTAGGATAAAATGTATAACAAATTCCCAAATGTTTGGAATGAAAGTTTGTTTTTAGAAGCGTGTGAAAAGCAGTTCTGCATTTATATTTCCAGAATCTGGAAATACTGGTGAGTTCTCCTGGGTTCCAATAGCCCCAAATATTCCTGTCCTATTTCAGGTAGCAGTTAGCCTCAGGCTTAGGCCTAGGCCTACTGTTCAACTTAGGTACAGTGTGTGGAATGTGCACATCACTTCTTTCCTCAGCAGGCGTCCCAGGAATTCCTGCATCTGCAACATCCTTAGATTTCCATTTTAGCCTAGCTTCACTTAAGCAGCTGTTGCAATGTCTTCTCATGGCTTCCTTGCAGAGACTCCAACCCTGTCATATTTGTTTGCTCTGTGGAGTTTCCTGGAAGATTGTTGCAAGCTTCCATTATCCTCTAACCCTTTTGCAGTGCACATCCACAAATTCAGCATACTATAATAGTACTGACAAGCTGTGTGCAAGCTGGAAGTGCACTTGGCACTGGACCACCTCTCGTTGGTGGCTCCTGTGCCTTGGCTGGTGAAGCTGGGAAATTATTTCTGTGGGTGGTTGTCTTTAAATAAAGAATCCCATCAGGGCTCTCTCCTTTCAAATAAATTTGCATTTTCACAAGATAAATCCTTGAGGTAGTTGAGTCTTTCCTCGGGGTGTCTTTATCATCACACAAGTGAAGACTGTGGGACTTTTGCCTCAAGGCAGTGTACTCCCTAACAACTACAATGGCCTTTCCACACTTGCCTTTTCTACATCTTTAAACTTGCTCATTTTCCTTTCCTTTCTTAAGTGTGTAGTTTTCGATATTTCTCCTCTCTCCTCTGGCAGAGCTCAGAACAGTGAAGAGCAACCATTCTACAGCCTGGCACACCACATTGTGTGAATTATCTCTGTAATTAAACAATCTAACAATCTCCTAAACAATGTTTTTTTTTTATTCTATTTCCAACCTTTTCATGTAAAAAAAAAAAACCTATTTGTGCTACTTTCTTAACAAAACTGCATATTTTATGTTTTTGGCTTAACCTGCTACTTTTTCTCACTACAGACCTTAACAGGTACTGTGAGCAGAAACCATGACATAGCTGGAATACTATGCTATCCTGAACTCCCTTTCTCAGACTAATTACTGAAATTTTTATCAGGTACCATGGCGGGTGAGGAATGTAGGTAGGGAACAGAATATTCCATGCAGAAAGAACTTGAATATGGAGAAGTTTTTTAGAGGATATTGGGAGTGTATAGGGGAGGAGGGAGAAAGAGAGAGATAGAGAGACAGAGAGAAAGGGAAAAGGAGAAATGGAAAGAGGAAGAAAGAGAGAGACAGAGCTGCCTTTCAGAAGAACAAAAAAGGGAGAGTGGAAGGGAGCTGAGATGAGCTTGCCTCAGTGGGGTGAGAGGGAGACACTTGCAGAGAGAGAGAGAGAGAGAGAGAGAGAGAGAGAGAGAGAGAGAGAGAGAGAGAGAGAGAGAGTGGGTGAGACTTTGGGGCTTATCTCTTAAAGGGACAGGGTCAAGCTTAGAGTTTTCCTGCCAGACGACAGTGCAGGCCAGCATAATCCTAACATTCCCATCTTTCTCTTATCATCAAAAAGTGGGAAATTAAAGGAAACAGCAGGAGGGACAGGGATTGGGGGGTGCTGGGTTCTCAAGACTGCTTCCTGCTGATTTGTGGGCATCAAAATTATGTGGGAGCTGAGGAAGTTAGGATGCTGCCTCATCCTGGGGTAGTTGGCTGTTTAGAGAATAAATATAAAAGAATTGCAGAAATCAGTAAACTGAACTGCAGGGGATTTGTGCAATTTACTAATACCATGTTCTGTGGAACCTTCTGGTGTCTCTTAGACCTGGCAAAGTGCTGGCAGAGTAGACGACAAGATTAAGTTTAGGAAGAAAAAAAAATTTACTTTAGGTCCTGGTGATTGAAGGGGAGGGTATCAGAACCAGGGAAAAGGGGAAAGACTTGGGCTCTTAGGGTCTGGTAATTGAGGGAGGGGGCATATGACCTGTTTAAACGGAATCCTCCAATTTGGTTCTCTGGAACTCACAATACATCTTTGAGTTTGTGAAAACATAAGTTTTAGACACATGCATTGTATAAATAGCAGTATATTTATTCCGGAAATGACTGTGACAGATGTTTTTGCACAGTAAAAAGTATCTTTTAGTTCTATGCCCGAAAAGAATTTAAAATATTGATCTTTCAATTATGGTAGTGGTAGTATTTTGCCAGAATTATATAATAGCTTATCAGAATTTTTGATTAATGTTAAGACTATTAATGGCAGCATAATGAGAGAGAAATCTGATAACTTGCATTTGTATACCTTCAAACACTTTCTTAAACTCTGAAACAATCTTATCCTTAGACCTTTATAACTTGTAGGTACACACCTTAAGTCACTTTTTTTTTTTTTGCATACCGTACAACACCTTTTTGGACCCCGAAACATCTTTAGATTTTTTATATCTTGAGCTTTGTATCTTAGTCATTTAAGCATGGTAAGGATGTTTTGTGATGTTGGACCTTTTAAACTGGCAATCCT